CAGACTCTCCTGGGCATTCAAGTGAGTCCAGGAGATGTGGGGGTGAGCTGTTAAGTGGGTTTGGATGGTCTTGGCTGTTAGGTGTTGCTATGTTTCCTGGTGTTCATCTCCAAAGCAATCCCTGGCATGCTGCTTTTGTGGAAGGCAGAACAGCTCAAGAGAAAAATGTGCTTGAAATTACCTGTTCTGGGGAAATGCAATATGCAATCACTGCGGATTTTCTGCTAGGAACTGCTTGTGAACAAAGATGGAGCTTGAATTAGGGATCTGCCCTTGTGGGGGTCCCTTACACTGACACAGAGCTCTCTGTGCCTCTCCGGAGGGTTGTCACCCTACAGAAAAATGTCACTTCAGGAATCTCCTGGCAGGGCAGGGAGGGAGATTTGACATCACAACTGCATGACTGGGAAAATCACAGAGGCAAATTCTCCTTTTCTGGCCAGGAATGCCAAGGTGTCTGTCTGCTGTGTTCCACGAGTAGGAAATCAATTGCTGAGGGATTTCTGCTGGGAGATTTGTGCTTTATGAAATTCATGCCAGGGGCAGAGGACTGGGGAGCTGGAAACGATAGGGCTGTCTTCCTCCCCTCTGCTGCTTTAATTGTTTGTAATGATTTAATAAGCAGCAGTATTCTTCCCTGCAGCAAACACAGGCATGTGGCATTTTATTGCCTTTATTAGGGTCTCTGTTTGGAATTTCTTTGCTGTATTTCCTCAGTGTGAAAACTGGACGTTGTGCTGTCAAAATTCTGTGTTGAGCCAGCATCAAATCTATGCAACTATATGGGAAGGAAATAATAAGGAAAAATTACATGATTTAAACAAAGAAATTCTCTTGGCTTTGGCACTTTATGTGCACAAATGCACATCAGGAGAGGAAGAGCAAATCAGGTACAAGCTCCCAGTACTTGCAGAAGAATGAATGGAAATAACTTCCTGTTTAGGCTGGAAATTAAGAGAAAATTTGTACTCATCAGAAGGGTGTTGAACTAGAGCAGCTGCCTAGTGACAACAGACAGATGGAGAAATGAAACCCCACATTACAGGCTTTTAATATGGAGGTTTTTGGATGTTGGGGTCTTTAGAAGCAGATCTTGTGAGTCCCATGGGCAATGCAGGTGGTTTCCCAGAGGAGCATCCCTGTCCTATGTCAGGGATCTGCTGCCCTGGTCCCACAGAGTAACTTGGGTTGTACCTGATGGCTCAGCAGAGCTTGGGGAAACGCCTCCATGTTTTTTGGATTTTAATGGCATTTGGGTCAAATTGAATTTATTCTCTGAGGGATGGAGCCTTGAGTTCTCACGGGTTTTGTTTGAACATTTCTTTAATCTGCCCCCCACCCCAAAACCCCCAGCAGATCCCCTGCTCCTCCCACTCTGTCTCCCACATCTCTGTGATCCTCAGAGCTTTTCCCTGACACTAGAAGAACTGGAAATTGGCTGGGTTTTGTTGCCTCTTGGCAAGAAATTTGTCTCCTATTGTACAGCTCAGGGGGAAGGAAATCTCTTTCTCCCTTCAGTTTGCTGCAACAAAGTGTTTTGTTCCTCCTTGTGAAGAACTGGGAAGAAACACTTCTTTTTAAGCTGAGGGAGCACAATTCAATTCCCTTATCATTTTGAGCAAAATAACCAAGTTATTTATGTTGAAAGTCACTCCAAAATTTTAGAGATCTTTTGAGAAAATATTTCTCTTGATGACTGATTATGAGTGGCTATGGGAAGAAACTCTTTGCCTTGAACCACTCAAGGCAATAATTTCTTTCCAAGGAGTAGATGTAATTACATTTTCTGGGTAAAAAAAAAAAAAAAAAGTAGTAGTGGACCGAAGGAGCTTCAAGCCCATCTCCACTTGCTGCCAATGACTGAATTAAATGCACAGGGCTCCTATCAGCTCTGCCAGACAAAACGTTGCTTTTGGGTTATTGGGGGTTTTGTCAGAAGTCTTTGTAGTATGAATAGTTCATACTACTGGCTTCAGCTATTCCTGCTGTCCATCATATCTTGCTATTATAAGGCAGCTCTTTTCATTATGTTGTCTTTTAATTCCGATATCTGAACCTTTTTCTACTTCTAGTCCCAGTTTTCAGTAGGACAAACATTTTCTTATCTGTGAGTGTATTCAGTGGTGGCCACACAAGTGAAGCCAAGAAGCTGGCAGGTGATAATTTATGAAACTTTGTATAATGGGAAAAAATCAGCATTCAATTTCCATCTCCTTAGAAATCTCTATTTCTTTTTTTTTTTTTTTTTTTGTCTCTTGTGCTCTTTGTGGCTGGTCTGAGTTTAGTGCTTGGAAATGCAATTATATGGATCCAAATTCTTTTGAGAGAGAATAATCTTGTACACAAAGCCAAATAATTTTAACTTTTTAATATTAGAGCAGTTTGACATCCAGGCATGGGGAGCTGGCAATGGTTAGTACCTGGCCAGCCTCAAGAACAGAGAGTTCATCTGATTTAAGTGAAATTTCATTCATTGGAAACAAAGTAAAATTGCCTCTTATTTGCTCAGCACTAAAAATCCACCTGAAGCTGATTGCCAATACTTGCTGCTGAGTGATGGGATGGCACCATGGGATGTCACTTGCAATGGCACCATGAAATGAGAGAAATATTAAAAAATGGTATTTCCAACCCTGTGCAGGCCCTGATGTTCTGCTGTTGGCTTGGTGCTGTCAACAGGGCTGATTTTGATGGTTTTAGAGGCACTAACCTGGGCAGTGAAATGCACCTCATTGCATCTCTGGTCTCTGCAGGTGCCTTTATCTTCTTTCATGCTCCTCAGAACTGAAATCCTGCAAGGACCAAGTCAATCTGAGGCTTTGGGAAGGATCAGTAGTGATAGATTTTGGTGAGATTTGAGTCAGGAGATGTAAGTAGTAGCAGAAAGTGCTGTAATCTTCATCTTTGTGCTCTCCTGCATGCTGATGCAGTATGAAGGAGGCAGGGATTCCATAAAGCACCTTCTGTAGTTCCTGTGGGAGAGAAACCAGTGGCAAGTTCTTTAATTTCTTAGAGTTTCAGGCATGTGTCATGTAGCTGTGCTGCACCCCGGGGGCCAGGCTCTGCCTCTCCTTGCTCCTGCTGGTGCTTCCAAACTGTCCTCTGGGATTTTTATTTGCAAACCACCTCTGACCAGCTTCCATTTTGCTTTAAAAATTCAGCACCACGTTTGTGGCTGAAGAGGTCTCAGAGCTGGAGAGAAGGATTTGAGATGCAATTTGCATCAGAGTTGTTACAGAGGGGAAAATGATGAATCCCTCCTGTGTCTGGAACTGCTAATCTTGTTCTGAACATTGAAAACCTCTTCAGCTTCCCTCATTGTACCTAAATTTGATTACTGCTTTGATTTCACACCTCTTTCATGCAGGCTTTTCCTCTCTCCTTGGCTGGATTTGTCAGGCCTGAGAAGAGAAATTTTGTTGAGCCTTGGGACAGTTCCCATCCTCTATCCCGGCTCCCAATGCTGCTTGTAATGATCTTGGGAACCTGAGCATGAGGGAAACTGGGAGGAGTTTAGTGAGAGGCAAAGTAAGGCACAGAGGTGAAAGTAAAAGTGCAGAGTCTGGGTTACCAGAGTCTGCTGTGTTGTGGGGATCTGGGCCATGCAAAGTCATGTTTTCCTCTGTGAATGGCCAATTCCTTCTGTATCTCCTCCTGAAATTCCTGTGCACCTGGGCTGGTGCTGGAAGTGCAGCCACACAAAGTCCCCACAGAGCTGTGTGGGACCCCGTGGGAATCATTTCTTTGCTGCTTTTGATGAAAAGCTGTGACATGAACCTCAGTGTCAGGGAGGTGAGACGTTAATGCTGCTGCTGTCAGACAGTGCCCACACACCGTGTCTGGAGGCAGCTCAGGAGAAGATGAAGAAAAACCAGGATTAAAACCCATGTGCTACTGAACTCTATCAGAAACAGCTTGGAGTGAAGTCTGTGCAGTGACTGGGGAGGGCTGGATAAAGGGGCCAGCTCTGAGAAGTCTGTGGTACAGCAGCGATGTCCTAATACTGATCTTTGCACAGAGATGAAAAAGTCTCAGTTTGCATAGCCTGAATGTCTGGGTCTGGAAATTCTGCATTGCACAAGCTGTGCTGAGCTCATCTGGCTCTGAAATATCATCTCTGCACCTTAGCCAGGATCAGCATCAGAGTTCTGAAGAGATGAATAAAAATCAGTCATAACCCAGAAGCAAACCTCAGCAATACACATCTCTGTAAGGTGAGGAGGCCAAAAGCTTTCGTTATTGTTCCTGGAGAATGAATTCAGCAATTTAAAAATTCCCTCTCTTGGCATTAAAATACTTTAGTTTCAGCTCTGCCCCCGATTATCAATGTCAAGTGTTCCTCTGGGTGGTTGGGGGTGGGTTCTCCCCCTGCAGCTCTCTGCAGGTTGGGGCTAATTAGAGATGTTCTGTCAGGTTCAGATGTTTTGGTGCCCGAGCAGGGAGTGCAGAACAGGGATGACAAGCGCTGACATTTGCTGTGCTACAACGTCCAAGGGACAAACTTGTGCCAATGAACGTCACACCTTTAACTAGGAGGATCAATTTGTGTTGTGCATGTACCAGAGTCTGGTGACAGAGGGGGCTTCCAAAGGAAATCTTGGTCCATGTAAGACCGAGGCCCCTGTGCTGAGGCTGCCTCCAGGCTGGTCCAGCCCCTCAGGGTGCCCAGGAACAGGGGCTGCCCACAGCCCAGTGCACCTCGCTGGCCCTGAGGCTACCCAGGCAAAAGCCATGGATGAGGCTGTGCAGGACCACGCAGGCTCAGCCCTGCTCCAACATGGGATCCCACGGGACCGGGCACGCTGGGATTTGCCCCTGCAGCTACCAAGTGTGTCCAGAGAGACTGCAAGGAGACAGTGACCTCTGTCAGTGGGACCCCTCTGTGCAGGTACCCCCACTCCTGGGGTGGCTGTGCCAGCTCCCCCATGAACCTCCTGCCCTGGGAACCTGGAGCAAGCGGAAAACACAACTTTGCCAATACTGCCTGTGCCTGAAGCAAATGGAAAGAGAACTGGGGTGTGAAAAATCAGGGTTGTTTATTTACAGAAGAATAGCAATGAAAACACAGAACACATTGACTTTTGTAAGAATATTTGTAATAACAACAATTTATTGAACGTATATGCCTAAGAACATATCTAACAACAATATTTGAAACGTATTTACAGAAGACAAAACAAAGCCCTAAAACCTATATCCTAAAGGGAACAACAAACTCTAAAACTATGTACAAAAGGGTGCCATCTCTGTCCGGGATCTCCATCAGTCCTGGAAGAAAAGCAGGTGCCATGGTCACTCCAGTCAGGCACAGAGGGCTCTTCCGTGTGTCCCCAGGCTGGCACAGTGGGACCCTGCTGCCAGAGCTGAGGCTGGCTGGGTCTGGGGGCTGGGCCCCAGGCACTGGGATGGGGCTTGTGTGGCCAGAGCAGGGACCACCCAGCCCAGCCCCAGCCTGGCTGCAGGGAACCCACTCGTCCTGTGGGGACCACGTACCTGTCCTGCTGCTGGCATCGGTCTTCATCCCAGGACCATGGCCTCCTCTTCATCTTTTTCATCAATGTCCATGTCCTCAGTGTACTCTTCCATTTCCACATCCATCTCCTCTTCCACATCCACCTCCATCTCTTCCTCTTCAGTCTGTTCTCCATCCACTTCCATCTCCTCCTCCATATCAATCTGTGTGTCCACCTCCATCTCTTCCTCTCTGTCTGCGACAGCCTGCAGAGGTAGCAAAACCTCAGAGTGGGGTCCCTGTCCCACCCCATCCTCCCAGAACTCCAGCCCACCCGGGCAGATGGGGGGATCCACCTCCATGGAATGGCACCGTACCTTTCTCAGGACAAAGGTGATCATCCTGCAGGGATGGATGACGCAATCCAGGCCTTCGGCAGCTATCGAAACTGATGATGGGGGTATCCGGGGGCAGGAACAAGAAGGGTGGCAGGAGCGGGCAGGAGCAGCGTGCAGGGTGTGCTGACCCCAGGGCCAACAGTTGTGTTGTGCTGCTTGCTGGCTGCTGGCAGTTCCAGGTGGGACATGGATTGTGACGTGACAGTTGAGCTAGAGAGCCTTTGGTTCCATGCTTAGCAACGTTCCCCCAGACCATGGTGCTCAGAGCCCTGTTCCCAAGGATGGGGCATCCACAGCCTGGGCCAGTGCCTCAGCAGCCTCAGTGGGAAAGAGCAGCTTCCTGAGATCCAACCTCAATCAGCCTCCTGCAGCTGAAAGCCATCGCCCCTTGTGCTGTTGCCACAGGCCTTGTTGAACACTCTGAACACTCTGTCCCAGCCTTTCTTGTGGGACCCTTGCAGTCCTGCATCAGGAACTGAGCAATGGAAGCTTTAGGCCCAGGTTTGCCTCTAAATGTACAAAATTAATAACAGTGGAGGGGAAGATGGTGGGACACTGGTTCTGCTCTAACTGGTGAATATTTTCTTTTTTTTTTTTCTTCTTTTCTATCATGCTGATGCAGGTTGAAATGAAGCTTGGCACAATATCCATTTTCTTCTCCATTTGTGAAACACGGAACACAGTCTGGGCAAGCTGATGTTGCAGAGGAAAATCTGCAAATGTACTGGTTATCCTGAGCCTGGAGGATGAAGTTAAAGCCAGCCAAAAGCAATTTCTGGAAAGTCAAGCCTGGTGTACATTTTCTTGAGTTTGGCTATGCCAAGTTCACCTCTCACTTATAAAAAAGCAAACAAAAAACTCAAAGCAAAACAGACAAAACCCAAAAAAAAACAAACCCACACAAACCAATCAAACCAATGGATTAAAAAAACACAAATAAAACCAAAGGGAATGAGGAGTTAGTATTAGTTGTGAGGATATCACAGCAGGCAAATGGCTGCTTCCCACCATAAAAAGCCACAGAAAACAGCTGCTCCAAAATATACCCAACAGGAGAACCATAAAAAAATTGATACATAGCAACTTTGGGGGCAGCTCCCCATTAAGGTGAAGGATGAGCACACAGTGGTACAGCTCCAGCATTCCCCACCCTCCAGGCTGCTCTTTGCTCCTGATGAAAGACCCTTGCAGGACTGTGGCCCCTCTCAGTGCATTATAAATCATTCCCACAGCTCTCAGTTGAGCCACTGGCATTTCCAGAGCGAGATCCAGGCACAATCCTACTGCCTGCTGAGCCTCTCTGGGAGATCCTGAGCATCTTCCTGCCTAGAGCCACAAAAGAGCTCAGGCTCTCCCTGAACTGGGTTTTCAGGGGAGGTTTCCATATCCCTGTGAGATGTGTTCATCCCTCAACACATCTGATTTTATGTACAATGATGTGTTTGGGTTCCTTCCCTACTCCTGTGTGCCAGTGCGAAGTCACCCATGTGAATGGAGGGTATTGTGAGCAGGAAAATGCATTCCTGGGTTGCTTTTTTGCTTCACTGTCACTCAGCTGAACAGGGTCCTTTTCTTAGAGGGACTTACAAGAATGGGTAGGAATTTTGGCTCTGAGAGGAGCAGAAAGCACATTTTCTGCACCACATTCCCAACAGATGCTGTTTCCCTGGCAAAACAGTGACTGTCATTCATGTTCCTGGGAAGACTGTAAAGAGCCATTCAGAGATGACAGGTCCACCTGGCCTTTGGCTTTGTGTACCTCATTTCACATGCCCAGTTTCAAGGGCCATGAAAAGAGGCCACCTTTTGCCCTGGCAGTGCTGATCCCTCCTGCTGATGCCCTCCCTCAGCGTGGGAGGAATGCAGAGCTGGTCTCAGAGAAGCACAGGGCTTGAGGGTTCCTGTGTCATTTCCGTGTGTTGGTAACCATGATTGAACCACCTAGTTCTTGTCTCCTATTTATTGAACTCTGGTTGGTTTCTGGAATTGGTGAAGGATGTGGAGCTGCTGGAGCCACTCCAGGGAGACCTTTGAGCTCCTTCCAATGCCTGAAGGTGCTTGAGGAGACCTGGAGAGGGACTTTGGAAAAGGCTCTGGAGGGAGAGAACAAGGGGGAATGGGTTCAGCCTGACAAAGGACAGGTTTAGAAGGAGAGTGGGAAGAAATTCTTTTCTGTGAGATTGGAAAGAGCCTGGAACAGACTGACCAGAGAAGCTGTGGCAGCTCCATGCCTGGAGGTGTTCCAGACCAATTGGACAGGGCTTGGAGCAACCTGGCATAGTGGAAGGCAGGGGGCATGGAATGAGATGGTCATGAATTCCTTCCTAAGCCAAACCATGCTAGGATTCTATGAGTGGGCTGCTGAACTTGGCCAAAAGAAGAGCTACATTGCCGAGGTGAAGTGAGAAGGGGGATTAGAGCCACCTGTGTTTGCCCTTTAAATCCCTTCCAACATCAATTCTGGGCTCTGTCTCTGGGTATGGGCACAAAGGAGCCTTTGTTGTTCTTCAGTTGGGCTGCAATCTAAATCTCAGCGAGTGCAGCTCAGAGGGTGACACGTGCTGCCGCTGGGGCCACTGTGTGGACTTGTTTTCAGAAAAATGGGAGATGCAGAGGAGAGAGAGGTTCCTGGATACAGTCACTCTACCTACACCTGGAACTGAGGCATCTGCCCAGGGATTTCATATTCACCGACTGGGAAGGAAATCGAATCAGGGCTTGCTAATTTTCATGAAGTCAAACACCTGGGATTCACTTCAGACTTGCATTTTCCTGGAAGAATTCAACACAAGCGCTGTATATTTATACACAGGCACTGGACTTTTCTGTTGTTTGATGAGACTACAATTTGTCTTCCTCTTGTGGTTCCTGCAATCCTTCCTCTCCTGAGGTTTGCAGTTGAATTACCAACCTCTACCCCAGGAATATTCATCTGTCATATTTTGGATATTGTTGTTCTTCAAAGGAAAGCAAACAATGTGATTTGAAGCCAGGCCTCTTCCCAGGAAGATTTGATTGGAACCAAGTCCTGCCTCAGATCCAATCTCATCTCCATTGTTGTGTACGTCTATTAATTTTCCCATCATTGCTTTTCCATTTCTTATTACTATGCAGCTCAGTCTTGAACACCATCATTCAGAACTACACAGAAGTCACATACTGCTGCTTCCCTATTCCTATCTGCTTGTTCCCTAATCCCACCCAGCTCTCTATTGAACATCTGCTTTTACCTGGGCTGACAGGTGTGTGTTTTAGCAGAAAATACTGCAAATCAGGGATGCAGAATTTCTCCTTGCTCTGGGAATCTGATCAGGGTCCTTCCAATGTGTCACTGAACATGTGAATTCTCCCTTTCTCCCAACAACCCCCAGTGCTGGTTTTGGCTAAGATAAATCAGACAGCGCTGTTTGGAGTCACTCCCCACCTGCTTTTCCATCTCATGCAGTGGCTGGGGTAGGATGGCTGGTTGGGTTGTGCAGACATTGCACTGCACCTTCCCCTGCTGGTGCCCAGCCTGGATCAGGGCAGGCTGGATGCCACATGGGATCCATCCTTTGCCATGCCATGCGATCCTCCATGCAGTAGGGATAACAAGGCCAGCACTGGGGAACCCCAGGTGCTGCAGCAGTGATATTTTTGGGAGAAACACGGAGCTGTGCATGGCCAGCTTGAAGTCTGCAGTGGTGTGAGCACCAGGCCTGCCATGCTGAGCCCAGGGCCACAAGCAGTGCTCACCCTGGCTGGGACATTGAGTCCCAGCATGGGATCCCACGGGACCGGGCACGCTGGGATTTGCCCCTGCAGCTACCAAGTGTGTCCAGAGAGACTGCAAGGAGACAGTGACCTCTGTCAGTGGGACCCCTCTGTGCAGGTACCCCCACTCCTGGGGTGGCTGTGCCAGCTCCCCCATGAACCTCCCGCCCTGGGAACCTGGAGCAAGCGGAAAACACAACTTTGCCAATACTGCCTGTGTCTGAAGCAAATGGAAAGAGAACTGGGGTGTGAAAAATCAGGGTTGTTTATTTACAGAAGAATAGCGATGAAAACACAGAACACATTGACTTTTGTAAGAATATTTGTAATAACAACAATTTATTGAACGTATATGCCTAAGATCATATCTAACAACAATATTTGAAACGTATTTACAGAAGACAAAACAAAGCCCTAAAACCTATATCCTAAAGGGAACAACAAACAATAAAACTATGTACAAAAGGGTGCCATCTCTGTCCGGGATCTCCATCAGTCCTGGAAGAAAAGCAGGTGCCATGGTCACTCCAGTCAGGCACAGAGGGCTCTTCCGTGTGTCCCCAGGCTGGCACAGTGGGACCCTGCTGCCAGAGCTGAGGCTGGCTGAGTCTGGGGGCTGGGCCCCAGGCACTGGGACGGGGCTTGTGTGGCCAGAGCAGGGACCACCCAGCCCAGCCCCAGCCTGGCTGCAGGGAACCCACTCGTCCTGTGGGGACCACGTACCTGTCCTGCTGCTGGCATCAGTCTTCATCCCAGGACCATGGCCTGCTCTTCATCTTTTTCACCAATGTCCATGTCCTCAGTGTACTCTTCCATTTCCACATCCATCTCCTCTTCCACATCCACCTCCATCTCTTCCTCTTCAGTCTGTTCTCCATCCACATCCATCTCCTCCTCCATATCAATCTGTGTGTCCACCTCCATCTCTTCCTCTCTGTCTGCGACAGCCTGCAGAGGTAGCAAAACCTCAGAGTGGGGTCCCTGTCCCACCCCATCCCCCCAGAACTCCAGCCAACCCGGGCAGATGGGGGGATCCACCTCCATGGAATGGCACCGTACCTTTCTCAGGACAAAGGTGATCATCCTGCAGGGATGGATGACGCAATCCAGGCCTTCGGCAGCTATCGAAACTGATGATGGGGGTATCCGGGGGCAGGAACAAGAAGGGTGGCAGGAGCGGGCAGGAGCAGCGTGCAGGGTGTGCTGACCCCAGGGCCAACAGTTGTGTTGTGCTGCTTGCTGGCTGCTGGCAGTTCCAGGTGGGACATGGATTGTGACGTGACAGTTGAGCTAGAGAGCCTTTGGTTCCATGCTTAGCAACGTTCCCCCAGACCATGGTGCTCAGAGCCCTGTTCCCAAGGATGGGGCATCCACAGCCTGGGCCAGTGCCTCAGCAGCCTCAGCGGGAAAGAGCAGCTTCCTGAGATCCAACCTCAATCAGCCTCCTGCAGCTGAAAGCCATCGGCCCTTGTGCTGTTGCCACAGGCCCTGTTGAACACTCTGAAAACTCTGTCCCAGCCTTTCTTGTGGGACCCTTGCAGTCCTGCATCAGGAACTGAGCGATGGAAGCTTTAGGCCCAGGTTTGCCTCTAAATGTACAAAATTAATAACAGTGGAGGGGAAGATGGTGGGACACTGGTTCTGCTCTAACTGGTGAATATTTTCTTTTTTTTTTTCTTCTTCTTTTCTATCATGCTGATGCAGGCTGAAATGAAGCTTGGCACAATATCCATTTTCTTCTCCATTTGTGAAACACGGAACACAGTCCGGGCAAGCTAAAGTTGCAGAGGAAAATCTGCAAATGTACTGGTTATCCTGAGCCTGGAGGATGAAGTTAAAGGCAGCCAAAAGCAATTTCTGGAAAGTCAAGCCTGGTGTACATTTTCTTGAGTTTGGCTATGCCAAGTTCACCTCTCACTTATAAAAAAGCAAACAAAAAACTCAAAGCAAAACAGACAAAAACCCAAAAACAAACAAACCCACACAAACCAATCAAACCAATGGATTAAAAAAACACAAATAAAACCAAAGGGAATGAGGAGTTAGTATTAGTTGTGAGGATATCACAGCAGGCAAATGGCTGCTTCCCACCATAAAAAGCCACAGAAAACAGCTGCTCCACAATATACCAAACAGGAGAACCATAAAAAAATTGATACATAGCAACTTTGGGGGCAGCTCCCCATTAAGGTGAAGGATGAGCACACAGTGGTACAGCTCCAGCATTCCCCACCCTCCAGGCTGCTCTTTGCTCCTGATGAAAGACCCTTGCAGGACTGTGGCCCCTCTCAGTGCATTATAAATCATTCCCAGAGCTCTCAGTTGAGCCACTGGCATTTCCAGAGCGAGATCCAGGCACAATCCTACTGCCTGCTGAGCCTCTCTGGGAGATCCTGAGCATCTTCCTGCCTAGAGCCACAAAAGAGCTCAGGCTCTCCCTGAACTGGGTTTTCAGGGGAGGTTTCCATATCCCTGTGAGATGTGTTCATCCCTCAACACATCTGATTTTATTTACAATGATGTGTTTGGGTTCCTTCCCTACTCCTGTGTGCCAGTGTGAAGTCACCCATGTGAATGGAGGGTATTGTGAGCAGGAAACTGCATTCCTGGGTTGATTTTTTGCTTCACTGTCACTCAGCTGAACAGGGTCCTTTTCTTAGAGGGACTTACAAGAATGGGTAGGAATTTTGGCTCTGAGAGGAGCAGAAAGCACATTTTCTGCACCACATTCCCAACAGATGCTGTTTCCCTGGCAAAACAGTGACTGTCATTCATGTTCCTGGGAAGACTGTAAAGAGCCATTCAGAGATGACAGGTCCACCTGGCCTTTGGCTTTGTGTACCTCATTTCACATGTCCAGTTTCAAGGGCCATTAAAAGAGGCTCATGTTCGCCATGTTATCCAGAAGAGCTGTAGTTATTTCCAGGAGAAAATCCAAAATTGACTGTCCTATGGTGTGGTAGAAATCTCATTACGATTGTGACTTTGCGCAATGACAGTCAGTGCTTTTTGGAGCTCTAACAGCTGAGAGTGTGGCAGAGCAGTTTTAATATTATTTTTAGACTCATGAAAACATTTTTCCCAAAACAATCTTTCGCTCCTTTCTTCTATCATAAACTATGGAACAGAAAAAATGGAAAGGAGCAGAGGTTTGTTTAAGTTGGCTTTTTTTTTTAAGTCTTAAAATAGTGCCAGCTTGATGCATAACACTTGAGAAAATGGATTAGTAGCAGCTATTTCTTCCCACCAGAGAGGTGAAATTTAAATCTTCCAACAACAGTGTCCTAGTTTAGGGCAAATTTGGGGAAAACCCTCTGAAAGGAGCCCCCAGGAAATAAACCCCCACGGCCCCTCCCCACCCACCTTGTTCAGGGAAAAATTTCCTCTGAGAGAGAAGTGGAAAAGAACCTGTTTATTCAACGAACAAAGCACTCCCCAGCACCAAAACAATTAACAACACCAGATGACAACAAAACTCTTTCACCCCTCTGAAGAGATGAACAAATCCAGAAAGTCTTTCCTGGGAGTGGTCA